TTTGTTTGTTTATTGCTCGAGTTCCTCATTCCCCATCCATTTTAGTCCGCCATCCTACTTCTTCAGTATGAAGCTAAAGTAATTGGTGACAAAAGTTTACAGTAGACTTTTTGAAATGCTTTTTGTGATGCTCCAAGTCTCTGAACCATAAAGTATAGCTGACTGACTTAACATTATTGTTGAAGGTCCGAATCTTGTTCTTCATGCTTAGTGCATCAGATTTCTACACTAATTTCAGAGTAGTGACTGTCTGTCTTGCTCCCCTGATCCTAGTTGACTTTGACATCGTTGTTAGTGCTGACTACCTGTAACTGAAACAATACTGCCTAGATAAGTGAGGGAATTGACCTCTTTCAAACTTCTTCCGTTGATACTGACTGGTGCTTGTTGTTGCTTAGGTGTTTTAATCACCTTTGTCTTCTTTTTGTTCGCTTGAAGTTCTATCTTCACTAACTACATCTTCTCCTAGTCTGCTGATTTTCACCTGTAGATCTTGAAGATTTTGTAACGTTAGACATAAATCATCAGAGAAGTTCAAATCTTGACTTCGTAACCATTGCCTTCCAGTATCCAGCATAAGACCCACTTCGCTTTCTTTTAGTGGTCAATAAAATGATCGAAAGATTTCAGCCAGTCTTTAGGACTTAGTAGAGAGATTGTCTACTGTCCAGTAACCAGTCGTTTTATATTTTCGTGTATACATTTAGATACAAGAGCTAACCAGTAACTACTTTCTAAGTGTAAAATCTACCAATATATACTAAACATTAATTAAAAATTCGAAATATCAACCTTTTCTAAGGTAGTAGTTAACGCATTTCATTATGTATGCATTCATTAAAATTCACTTACTCAAATAACATATCAATAACAACGTCTTTATAAGCTCATGTATGCATTTTAGCATTGAATTTTAAGTCTGCCATGTAGCGGTTAAACAATTAAGTTTCACACTAGATTTCAGCTTTTATTAGACCTACTATAAGAGTCATAGTGTAGAAATAAACCAGTAATGTATTCACGATAATCATTCTTCTGGTGGTCTCATTATCATAATGAGACAGTTTAGAGGTTAGTAAAGAGTATAGATACCTAAGTAAACATTTCACCGATCTCTCAGCTATCAGTAGACTAAAGAAATACAAAATGTAAGCTTTTGGATATTAGTCCATAACTTCTAATTAGTTGAGTTTTTCATATCCTAACAGTTATTATTTGTAGTTAGGCAAATACGTTGGTCATCAATCCAAATATAGTCAAAGTGTTTATCTGTATTAGAGCATTTTTAAACAGAAAGTATATGCATGAAAGTCTGATTTCATTAAAGGAGAAATCGCATGCGTAGGTGGCACAGCGGTAGAATGCTCGCAAAGCACGCATGTGGTCCTGGGTTCGATCCCCGGCCTACTGACGCACTCCTTTAACTCACTAAGCCAGTAATGAGACTGGCAAAGAAGGAAGGCTGGGCATGAGGCTAGGGACTCCATCCCATAGAAATAAATACCACTGCTACCGAAACTTGAAATCCCACGCTTGAAGCCCTATGTTTCACTGGGAACTTAAAGGAATATAACAAATAATAATTAATAAGTCAGCCATTTAGAAATTAGAAGTGTTGTTCTACCGTTCAATGCTATTTATGCTCATAGATTTCATAAACACTATAGACACCATCACTAGTGCAAACTATCGGAGATCACTTCGTTTCATTGGATTCATCGAAGCAAAGAACATAGTGGAATTTCAGGTTTTTATATGCCTTACTCTTCAGTATTCTGACTTTTTTAGCCAACCAGTTAATTCATTACCTTTGTTATACTTGAAATCCCATTTTGGACCTGAAGACTACTTTCAGTATGGAATCTGGATCTAACAGTAAAATTCCCATTCGCCATATCTTACATCTTTATAACAAGTGGAAGGCAATGTGAGGAGAGATGTGATTAAAGCTAGACAATTATCATGTGACCAGTGTTAATGTATAAGTAGTAGGAGGATGAGGAGGAGGAGGAAGGATTTCAGCTGGAAAAAGTTATTTGGATTGAGATGTGATCTCCAAGGCGGCTTTTATCGCCACTGGAAACAATAATGTACGTAACTTTTGAAGATTATGTTGAATGAAACTGTTAAAATTTCAATCCGATACGACGTTTATCTTGTCCATAATAGGAGAGCACTTATTCAAATAAAATCTGAAAATAGCACGTTTTTCTCTTCATCAGGTTTGAGTACTTCAGTACCGACTATTTTGTTTTATTTTCTATTCTGCAGACTGGCTGATTAGACAAAAAATTATGTCTATTTATTATTTTGAAGGAATTCAAGACGTCTACCTGATGTTCAATGTCAAACAGATATCTAATCACTACCTTGCTCAAAGATTTTCTTCCTCTTAATCTCATAAGTTTCTGTGAGTGTTTAGAAAATCTAAGATAAGCCCTTCTTTGTGTTCTTTCAATGTATGTACTTCGATAGCTACACGTACATTGTTACGTGTACTCGGATTTAACAAAGGAAGTGTATCCGTCGATTTTTGATTGAACTAACGAACAGAATGTTTCGTACACAAGAATCAATCTAGCCTCAAACAGTGTCTGATTCATTGGTTTTTCAAGCTATCTGTTGCTTATCCCTGTAACATCATTTTTAAGTTTAAAAAAATACTTTCTAACTCTTTTACTCTTTAAAAGTCTTATATATTATCATACTTCCTTCATTTCTATATGCACCTTGATTACAACTCATTCATGACGTAATCCTGCGACTCTTATCCACCTTCTCTTATGTTGTATCGATTAATATTAGCAGCTATGCTTATGAAAGTTCATATATTTTATTACTATCTTCTTTTATGGCAAATGCTACTGTGCAACAGAAGAAAATGAATTCCCTAGAAAAGGAGTCTCTTCTGCCAACTAGGTATTGCTGACCAAGTCATCCGCATATGATCATGGATTCCAGAGTTTCTGTTTACACGATGTAATTATCTAACTTGAACTTTTTATTCTTCACCTTATATCTTTCTTTTTCACTGTGTGCATCATTACAAAGACGATTAAAAGTTACAGGACTCTTAAAGTAACTAGTTCCCGATATGAATTTCGACAATTGCAATAAGAAGACGCAACTTATCTGAAATGTCTAATGTATTTGCTCAACACATTTAGGGCATTCTAATCACACATGCATACTCATATTCGATTAAAACCAAGGCTCACTTTCCTGTATATTTTCACCCTTTTTTTCTCTCACCTCATTTTCTTCCTTTCATTTGTAATGAAGATGTCAAAACCAGAATCAGAAAGACAAGACAAACCTGTACACAGCATAAAGACACAAGACTCAGATTTTCAACATTGTTAAAGTCAGTGCTTCGAACAGGCTACTGCAGACTCTCGTCAAAAGTCGCCCTCGCTAAATACGGAAAAGTTATCAGATGATCGGCCAGAAAGGATTATTTATTATTATTATTGTTCCCTTGGGTTCCTAGTGGAACATAGGGCTTCAACTGCACGTCTCCACTTGCTTCTGTCTCCTGCTGTACTTTTCACCTGCATCCATGTTAATCCATACTGTTTCAATTCCTCTTCACACGAACTCCATGTCACCCTTGGATGTCCCACTCGCCGCTTCCCTTTCGGGTTCCACTCGAGCTATGGCCTGACGCGCGATGTCACCCGGCGGCCTCCTCAGCGAGTGTCCAATCCGTCTCCACTTTCTCCTGCATATTTGTTGAGCGATTGGTTCTTGTTTTGTTTGTTCCCATAGTTTTTTGTTGGTGTTTCTTTCCGGCCATTTGATCTTCAGTATAGAACGAAGACATTTGTTGATGAAGGTCTGCAACAGGCTGTTGGAAATATTCTTTGTGACCCGCCAAGTTTCTGATCCGTATAAAAGAACTGACTGACTTGACGTTTGTATTGAAAGTCCGAATTTTGTTGTTGATGCTGAGTGACGAAGATTTCCAGATTGGTTTCAGGTTGATGAATGTGTTTCTCGCCTTCCTGATTCTCGATTTGACATCCTCGTCCGTTCCTCCTGTAGTTGAGACAATGCTCCCTAGATAAGTGAAAGAAATAACCTCTTTCAAATCCTTCCCGTTGATGGTGATTGGCGCTGGATGTTGCTGCTGCTGTTGTTGTTGTTGTTGGTTGGTTATTTTCATGACCTCCGCCTTGTCTATGTTCACCTGGAGTCCTGTCTTCTCTGGCTGCTTCTTCGACCAGTTTGTTGGTTTTCGCTTGTAAATCTTCGATTTTGTGTGACATCACACATAAATCATCCACGCGCGAAATCCAGGTCTTCTAGGTTCTTCACGTCGGTCTAGGATATCCCTGTCTTCTCGTTTCCCACTGTCTGACGCATAATCCAGTCCACCACAATTAGGAATATCATTGGTGATAATAAGCACCCTTGTCTGATTCCTGCGTTTACTCCAAACGCCTCGCTGAGTTTTCCGTTGTGGATCACTTGACATGTGCCGTTGTCATACAGCTGTTGAATAAGGTTGATGAATATTTGGGGTACGCCGTAGTACTCGAGTAGTTTCCAAATTACTTAATAAGTAATAAGGAGTTCTGGCAACAAACTAACCAAGATCCTATCACCCAACAAATATTCAGAAGAAAATGAAGATGGATTGAACACATTCTGAAGAGATAACTGAGTGACATGTCACTCCAGGACCATAAGTGGAATGCTAATAGGAAACGAAGAGTTCAATGTGAAGCCAAGGGTGACATGGAGGAGATCGTGTGAGGAGGAGGTGACAGACTATGGGACCAGCCAGCTGAAGAGGACTCCAGAGAACAGGATGGAAATGGAGATGTCTTGTTGAAGTCCTATATTCCACTGGAACCTAAGGGAGTAATAATAATGATCTGTGATCATGACCTGTTAACACTTTGACCTTTGTATGGATCCTTTATAATCTCTATCGCCTTTACCTGTATGACGACAATGCCCAAAATGTGTAGCACAGATATATTACACATTTCAGATAGATAAGCTACATCTTCTTACCAGACTTTGTGTCAGCCTCGCTGAACAGAGGATCACGTCATGCAGACAGATAAAACAAATAAAAAAAAGGCAACAGTCAGTAAATACTTCATATAGCATTTCAGTCAAATCAAATGACTGATTTATTTATTTATTTTTAATAATAGTTTGTGTTTGTGTGTTTGTTTTATGTTTCATTAGTACTCATAAATGAAAATATGAATAACAATAACAATAGTATTGATAATAGTAACAGTAATAATAACAGTAATGATGAACAATCATCATCATTATTCAAATGACTAAATGAATCACAAATACATGGTGGGGTGGGATGAGGTGGGTTTTTTAGCGGGAGAGTAGAGGAGAGGGGAGGAGGGGTTGGTTGTTTATCTTGCTCAAAAATCCAAGATGGTAGTCGTGGTAGTTGTGTTGGTAGTAGGTAGTGTGAGTAGTCTGTAGGGGGGGGATATTGTATTGATACTGTTCTATTCATTCATAACAGTGTTGTAATGGTAATATAAGTAGGTATTGTTTGTTTGTTTTTTCGTTTCTTTTATACAACACAAGTGAAAGAGAGCAGATTATGTGGAAAAATAATAATAATAATAAAGCAGGATATTTCTCAAATTAGGAGTAGAAGAGAAAACATGAACTCATACTATTATTACTCATAGGTATAAATAAATATAACATACTTATATATATATTTATTGCAAGCGAACGCTTTAGAAAAAAACAGACGTCATTATCAAATAGGAAATACATAAATGATCTATGTTTGTGTATATTTTGTGTACAAAGTGCTTGTGTGTGTGTGTGCATAAATGTGTTTGTAAAGTGCAGGTGTATATCATCGACATATTCAACACAATGCGATCGTCTTTCAGAGAGAGAGAGAGAGAACGTTGGTGTCATAAACACATACAAGTATAATAATGTATAAAAAAGGGAAGACAAACAGCTGAGATTTCATAATTTTCTTTAGTGTTTAACAGAAGACAGAGGTTCTCTGAGATGGAAAAAAGTTATCGTTTAGAAAGATTCATGAATAGACAGTTACTCTTAATGAATCCACACGCACACACACCAGCATTCATACATACATACAACACAGATACACAAATAAAGCTGTCAACACACACCATAGGTCATAGGTCATAGAAATACATAAATTTTTAAACAAATAATAATAAAGTCGAAAATAAAAACCAAAAACAATCAAATTAAGATGACAGGGAGATATATTTTGGTGGTTGTGGTCGGGTGGGGTGTGGGGATTTTGTGTCTACCGGTTACATGATGATGAAATCGTCATCAATATGACAGTAGAAAGTGAAACGCCTTCCAGTCTTCCTTCCTTCCTCACTTCCTTCCTTCAAAGGCTGTCAAAAAAGCCACTGTATGCTAAGTATTGTTATCATTAGTAGAGTATTAACGCATGTAGAAAGTAATTTCCAAGACATAACATAACAAAGAAGAATTAAAAAAGTAACAGTAACAATTGCGAGTAGTTAATTTTGTTGAGTAGGCGATAGTAAACGACTCAAAATAATAAAAAAAAAACATGAAACGGTGTGGTGGGAGTGATGGACAAAACAAAGGGGTGATTTATTCAAGATTGAAAACACAGAAGATGAATTTGTTTAGACAAAATAAAACACAATAAGGTTAAAAATTGCTTTTGATAAGATTGATGTAACAAAAATACTGTGAAGGACTGATTTTTAGTAAATTTCAATAATAGTAAGAATGTGTATCAAAATAAAATAATAATAATAAACAGTCAAAACACTGAGTTTTCAGTAAAATTTTGTTGTTGTTGTTGTTTTTTCAATTTAAAAAAAAGCATGAGAAACAAAAAGCAAAATCAGAGAAAAATTCATCTCCTTTATTTTCATTGTATTCTTATTTAAATATAAAAAAAACGAACTAACAAAGGAGAACAAAACGGAAGGCAATTTTGTGTTGGGGAAAAACAGATAAAACTGTGAGAGTAGAAGATTCAGTCAATTTGATGACAACATTGAGTTTGCGTTGGAAAGATCTCACGTTTTTAACAAACAAACAAGACGACAAGACGACAGAGCATTTTCATCTCAGTTACTGGCTTTTTTTATACAAAGAAAGAAAGCTTCCATTTAGTGAGATATCATGTTGGTACTTACCTACTTACTTAGTTAGTTTGTAGCATATAGAAATATAATAGAGAAAGGTATACAGGGTAGCTTTTTTTGTTCTACATGTGCTTAGACATCACTTTCTATGTGGTTGACGGAGGGAGGGTGAGGAGCACAATGGGGACGGAGGGACGTCGTTGCGAGTTGTTGTTGTTGTTGTGGGACACTTTGTATTCACTTGTTTATGATTGACGAAAAAAAGAGCAACTTTAAACCACCCCTAATCACAACACCACTGTTTTTTATTCTGACTATACATATGCATGCGTACATACATACAAGCATATACGTATGTATAGAGCATATCTGTAATTATACTTACTACTATCTGTTTGTTCACGAAAAAACTCTTATTTTGTTTGTTTAAGTTTAGTAATAATAATAATGTTGATAACACTTCATTTTGGATGTATTGTGAGTGTTGTTTATCTTCCCTTTTTATAGATCTCAGAAAACAAAACCAGAAAGAAAAAGGTAGAGAAAAAAAAAGTGTATATAACGAAAGTTCAAGGTGGTTCAAATTGTCATTCTCCAGTTTTCTGATCCAATTGCATTTTTATACTAGGTAGTAAGTATTTCAAGGTGTACAATGGTGTATGAGTACAAAGTGATTATTAAATAGATGTATGTGCGTGCAAGACAGGAAGGGAGGGTCAGTGAGTGTGTGTGTGTATGTATGTGCTAGGTGGGGATAACATATATCTATGCGTATCTATTTCTCATGTTTACCAAGAGTCATTGTCATCATCATCAGCATCATTATTATCGATAATCTTGATGTAGCAATAATTAGTAGTTTTGTAAAGTTATTTTCTGTCTATAACGGGATTGATTGATGACTGAAGGGCTGTGTGTCTCAGCATCAGTAACGGCAGTGTATTAGCGGCAGTGATAGTGAAAATTCTATGTGTATTTTATATATTTGCTTGATTTGATTGATCGACTTTCAAGCTTAGGAGATACTCATTCACGACATTAAGGTTGAGTATATTGTAGGCTCTGAAAGACAAAACAAAGTGATGAAACGGTAGAATGTGTCAGTTTCAAGAAATGAATATGCACTTTTAAAATACAATGACATTACGAGACAGAAAGTCATGAAGGGAAATTTCTGATGATTGGAAATCTGTTGTCAGACGTGTCCATTATGTGTTTGCCTATTACTAGAAGTGAGAACGAGCAATTTTCCAGATTTGCCACCTATCAGCTTTGTACACCAATATCCTGAAAAAGTTAAGCGGAGAAAAATTGAAGTGATTAACACTTTTAACTGTAAATCTACGCTTCAGTTGTTAAATTTCGTCCTGGGCTCGATTCCTGACGGGGTTATGGGGGAGCATCGCTGAAGGGTACCAAACTAGGGTGAAACAGATCTCCGATTACAGTTAGTAGAAAATTAATAATATGTAATAACAACTCTGCTAGCGAGTTCCTGTTGATTTACACATTAGTAATTAGGTTTATAAGCTCTTTTCTCATGTATGTCTCTTCACGCAAAACCCGGGCTAAATAGAGCATGCTTAAATTTCTATGTTTAGCCGTGCGAGCATAAGTTATTATGAAATTCTATCTGGTTTTATTTACCACAGGAGATCCAAGGAGAAAGTTACGAATCAAGAGAATATTCTATATTAGACAAAATGACTTTAGTCAGTCGCTTGCAGGAATTAAAATGCCCATCGACTACAATGTCAGTTAGTTGGGTCAAAGGCACACGACTAAACTTGCTTACAACCTTCAAAGTTCTAAGTAATGTAACATAGACCTTTTGAAAAGTCCAGTGAAGAATAAATAAGAATGAGTAGAATACATGAGAAGAGGTTGAGTTATACCAAAAACGTCTGAATTTTCTTATGTAAAAGTTTAAATGAAAGACTTTCTTTGAAATCAGCGAGATATGATATGACCAACAAAGATTGGAAGAAAAGTTGATACTAAGATAGGTAATATTCAACTTATTTCCTACCACAGTGCTGTCGATGTTACAAGAATCATGGGGACGAATCAGTTCACGAAAGTCCTATTCACACCTTAAACTAAAATTAACAGTCGAACATTTAAAGGGATTTACTTTTGGATCATTTGAATATGACCATTGGCAACTATTCATATCAGAATAATCAAATGTAGAAACAACCGAGCCGGAAATTGTCAGATCCTCAATATATTGAGTGAAAGTGTTTTAAAAGTATACAACAAGTTATGCAAAAAGAAAGAAAACAGAAATTGAGAAACTACAACACCTTGAGGTACAGTAGAAATAGAGTAGAAATAGAGCACTTGTATAACTAAGAACAGTGTGTTGTTTCCTGTTCGACAAATAAGAAGACAACCAGAGGAGTTATGACTCCCACTTTCAAAGGGAACGCCAACACTCACTAGAATACTAATCCATCCAGCAAATAAGTCTTCGATGGGACTAAATAAGCACTCTCACTTCTCTTACTGAATACGTTTGGATAGTTTATCCACGCATACAGGTGAACAGAACAAAGTTTTCACTGACCTAGAAAGAAAATGGGCTGTTGATCGATGTGAATTCATAAAACTGTGTACTTCTTCTTCATATTGTCCTGGATACTAACCAGTGAATTATGCATGAATTACGTGACCTGATGCGCGTCAGGGCGTTTAATATTGAAAATACTGGCCAGTGGAATATTTTTCCACCATCTGCTCTAACAGTGAAAGCTGACTGAGGTTGAAGTGATCCTATACACTCTTAGACTAGTCAAGCGAAAAAACATCATTTAATTGGATTTTAGATTTTCCCATCGATGGATTGGACCGAAGTGCTCGGTCTCAGGTTGACATGTCGGCTTCTTGTGCAGATGCTTCGACGATGTCTGGGCATGTAATTAGAAGTTAGTTGTTGGATGGTGACTAGCAGTGGAATCCATTGGCGTTTGAAACTATGAACACTGGGTTCGAGCCCCGGTTGGAACATCATCACCCACTGCGGAATGCAGGTAGATCCAGTTGACGAGCCCCAAATATGATGAAATGAGCATCCTGGATTCCAGACTTCAGACTTTATATTTTGTGGGCATCCTGACTGATTTCAATGAAGATTTCGTCATGAACCGATATCATGTAGAGAATCATTGAGAATTATATAACACTGAACACCTTTTCTGTCCTGGTATGGGGCTTTTCACCAGTGTGCAGCCACATTCTCACTAGGGATCGAACCCAAGACCTTCAACTTACTAGGGGAGCCTGTTGACGATGTCAACTACTTGGGTGAGTGCAGTGACCTATGAACTCTAAGTTCCATTAATGGGCAATGGGGGTCATCACAAATCAATCATCTATCACACTCGACGACCTGTCCCTTGAATATAAGTCCCAAACTAGGACGAAATAGTTTTTCAGTGCTCTTTGGTTGTAAATGATTTTCTAACAGGTGTCAATTCGTGATGAAATCGATAAAGAGATAAAGTAATGTTTTGACCAGAATCCAGATACAATTATTCCAGGGAATTCTGAATGGTTAAACACTAGGCTTCAGTGACAAAGACAATTACTTGTAAAAGTCGACTTAATTAGAAGTTATTTATATTCGTAAACCTTTCTTTTCATGAAATCAGGTGCTTACTAGATACTTAATTCACTCAGATTCTCCCATGATATTTATTTGTGTATATTTTCATGATGGAAAATGGTTGTAAATACCATGTGACTATTTTGTTTATAACCTTGAACAGTGTTAAAAATAGGGCTGGTTAGAAATGAAACTAAAAATCACTGGTTATTCGCCATTTCACTAACAATAGAATAGACACAGGTAGGATTGTACGTACGTACGAACGTACAGTGAGATATGAAATTTCGATTGGGAGAGTTATGTAGTCAGTAGACAATCATTGATTTTTATTATTAAAAAGTAATTTATTCTCTCTCTCTACCTCTAGCTCCCATCTCTATCCATAGTAGGCTAGTCAGTCAGTCAGTTAGGCAGTCTGATTCACTGCCCTAATTTCCTATAACTGTGTTGTTAGAAAAATCAAGTAGGGTAAGAGAAAATTTCATGCTAATGCCACACGAGAATCTGCACCATTGGTTAAACTCTGTTCATTCAGTGTATGCATAATCCACGTGCTGTTGTTGTGATGTTTTTGTGTTTTCCCCATAGTAATAGTGTCTTGTTGGGCTGCAAGAGAAAATGTTGATTGACACCAGGCTTTCTACTAAATGTGAAGGAGAGTAAATTTGTCTGCTTATTACTACTGTTACTATTATTAGGATTATTATAATAATTATTATAATATTAGCAATAGAAACAGAAAATGAAATCTTTTCTCTATCGGTTATCGTTAGTTATTTAGTCAGTTATCTTAGGAGTCTACAAAATACCGATAATCTAATGTACACTGGACAATTAGTCACGAAAACAACTAATTTAAAATATTTCCTACTGAGAATTTTACAGACGTTCATTGGTAAACTCAGTTAACTAAAACAACCCGTTAGGATTACCAAAAATTAAACCAGAAAAAGGTCCACGTATAAATGACCACCAAATAGTGAAGCATTTAAAAAAAAGGATACCTGTATATAAGTTGAAATAAATAATGTTAACATCTCGTTCAGAAAATTTGTTTTGAACTTCTTCAGGGAAATAATTGAAATTAAAGTATCAAACTTATATAACTTTGATAATTCAATCATGCCCAAAGTTTGACAAACTTTTCTGTTGAATCTTGACGAAAGTTCATTGTTTCGAATGCCAAAGCATTATTCACTAGGCTAATTGAACCATGAGAGCCATCTCATTTGCAACTGGAATCAGTTATTATTTGTTTTGATTGGACCGAGATGTTCAGCCTCTGTGGACAAGTCGGCTCCTTTTACGGATTCTGCTACTTTAGGTAAGTCCACAGACATTGTCGAAGCGTCCGTATTTGGAGCCTAGGTATCAACAAAGGTTGAATATCTCGACCCAATCAGTCAACGGGAAAATTAGAATTGAATTAAAAACAAATCAATTAAATTATTTTTTACGAGTTGATCACGGATTGATATCAGCTAGAGAACCATTGAAAACCAGGGAGTACTGGACAACTGTTCCAACTAACCCTTGCAAACCAAACTATAGAAAATTAATCTGATGCTCGCTAGTGACTTGCTACAGCATGGAGTTTCCTGGACTTCTAGTGAGAAGTCATGACCACTGAGGTCCAACCAGTCAAGTGTGGGGATGGATGTCCCACTGATGACATGGGTTGGTGGTCGCGCTAAATCACGAATTGTTAGAAGTTAGAATTCATGGGCCATTAAATTGGGCCCCAGTGGCTGAATGGTATACGAGCTTGCCTTGTAATAGGAAGGCCCTAGGTTCGAACCTTGGCAGTGGGTGCGTACTGACGATGATTCCCAAACTAGGATGAAACAGCAGCTGTCCAGTACCCCCTGGTTTTCAATGGTTCTCTAGCTGATATTAATCCACGATCAACTCGTAAAAACAAAACTAACCCTTACAAACCAAACTGTTGTAAATTATTTTTATTATTATTCTAGAAATATTGTGTGGCTGATCACTTGACGAAAGTGTCATTATAACAAGTGGTCCGATGATATTTGAAACAATGGGAGCTGAATTTGACTCTCAATAGGAACACCATTACTCATCTTGACGACGCAAGTGAATCCAGCTAACATGACCCAATTAACACAGAACGCGTGTCCTGCATTCCTCTGCTAGTCACTGTCAGTCAAATATTATCTTATACTAACTGAGTAGAAATTTCTATTCGATTATCTGTCAGTTACTTGATGCCTTTTCTACTTTTGACGTTGATAAAAAGAATGTAACCTAAAATGTAATGAATTCTTCTTCTTTTGTGACCTTGTTACGCATTCATATTATTATTATTATTATTATTATTATTCATACTGTTTATATATCATACAATCAGTCAGTCAGTGTGTGGTATGTGTAACCTCTTAGATACTTTTTTTTCTTTCTATAGTTTACAGTTTTTCCGTCAATCAGATGC